TGATCGTTTGTCATTCTTTTTGTCTTTATGATGGAAATTTTCATTGTGTCGTGGTTTGAATACTGATAGAGACCATTTTCATGTAAAATAAAGCTAAACAATTGGTATTGTGTATGATAATTTTTTATTTTTTTTTTTACAATTGGAACAAATTTTAAACCCAATGGTAAAAAAAATTATTACGACAATTTTCATGCAAAACGAAGTCAAACGGATACAAAACTTTCAATATTTTCTAAGTGAAAAATTATATCAAATTAACACAATTAATTACAATTCCCAATAAAATAAATTCTAGACAATTAAATTTCATGTAATTCATTTTCTTTTCACTCAAATTCTACATTTGCAATTAAACGGACCCTAATAGTTAATATAGCCCATTTGTGCTTGTTAATGAAAAGTTTAGGAGCTTAACGCCAAAACTAATCATTGAAGATAAAAGTATATATAGGAGCATAAATAAAGATGATTTTTGCAATTCGTCTCTGGCAAACCCAAACACGATAATAAGAAAGGAAAGGTCAAAGATGTCCATCCAATAACCACATAACAGCTTAACAAAAGTAAGGAATATAATATTTTTTGAAGATCTTAAACTGCAAGTCGATGGTATCATGTGAAAGATCAAACCACCCGTAGTTCTTTTTTTTTTTTTTTTTTGTTTATCCGAATATTTTGATTCATTAGCATTTGTCTCTAAATTGTATCGTTTGTAAATCTTTTTTATCTTTTTATACGCACATGATTTTTGTTCATCTGGATATGTCCAGTGTACTTGTATATAAGTTTTGATCAATATAATTTTACATTTACAGATAAAAAAAAAAAAAAGTAAAATGGGCATTAATTTATGCCTTTTAAGCATGAACATAGGTTTCTGGCCTCTCTCTATCTATGTATCTTCAGGATATTACATGTCACTGTTACTTTTACTTATTTTAAACACTTTCAAATATTTTTAGTGTGACTTTTGATGAAGTCCATGTTTGAGCCTCATTTTTTAGAATAGGTTTTGTGGGGGGGGAAAAAGTAATTTTTTGAAGATCGTGTGGTTAAAAAATAAGATTTTTTTTTTTTTTGAATTTATGTATAAAAACATTTTATTGAAAGAATATGGGGTCGAGAATGAGTTTGGAGAAGAATGGGGCCAAACATGAGCTAATTAATTTAGCATCCTAGAATCACAAGGTATTCTAAGTTGTTTTCCCTACTTTTGTTATTGTCTGTTTCATCATTCTCTACCTCCATCGATGATAAACTAATGAAAATTCTGACGCAGTTAATGATAAATATATTGTAACAAGAAAAATCAGTTAGCGCGTAGTTTTTATTCGTCCAGTTATTGTTAGATATGGGTGTTTCCTTCTTTCCTTTTAGTTAATGGGTGTATCTCAACAATAATTTGAAAGCAACTTACATCAAAAAGAAATTACTGCATGGTTCGTCTACATGCTCGGGAGTTTTTATAATCAGTTTAATTTATTTTTAAAAAAAATGAGTAGTAAATAAGTGAGTATTACTTGAAGACCCATGAAATTTGTGGATACAAAGTGGTTTAACTTTTTATAAAGAAATTATAAGCATTAGCAAAACATGGGCGTATGCCGCTTATCAAAAAACTTCCATATTTGCTTGATAATATGTGCACACAATCTATGAGCTTTTGGGTGAAATCCCGGTTATTAGGATCGACAAGATTTGTACATTTATCATCAATTTATGTTGTAAATTATGCGTTGCTATGTTAGTTTGGATACACGTAAGAAAACATATGTTGGGATTCTTTTTCTAACAAGTGTTGATGACGGAAAAAATCGAGTAACGATATTCATTGCTGGAATTTTACTAAAGCAAAGCTTGTGTCTTTGCTGAGAATATGTTTAGTAGCATATTAGAGAGAATCTTTTCAGTTCAATCGTCCTATTTCATTGGGCCTTTCACTCTTTATACAAAAGTCACAAAATGATTCTTCTTAGCCAAACATACTTACTTTATTTAAAGTCGAAGGATATTTTATTTTTATACCTTTTTCATGCCAATTTGTGAACTCTAATAATTGACAGGGACCATTTGCGCTTGTTAATAAAATCTCAGGAGCTTAATGCTAAAACTAATTTTTGAAGATAAAAGTATACATAGGAGCATAAATCCGATGCATCAAATTCGTCCCTTCTTCGAATTATTAAACCCAAACACGATATTTTTATTGCAACTTTTGTGACAACTAGAATCGCTTGAAGAATACTATTGTGAAAATAAGTCACTTGAAGAATACATTAAGAAAAGAAAGGCTAAAGATGTACATTTAATTACCACATAACAGCTTTACAAAAGCAAATGCTGGACTTTCTTTAATTTTTGCCTTTCACATCAAAAGCCGAAACTGGTTAAGTCGCGGTGTGTTATGGTTGTGCTATTTATTTTTCTTAGGGATGATTACAGCAAAAGTTTCAAACCTTTGAAATATTAGTAGACTTTCTCCAAATCTTTGATTTGTTGCAGTCGTCGCCCCTAACATTTCCAAACCTTTGAAATCGCATTAAATGTTCAATCCTATTTAATTCCTTAAATCAAACAAACAATAAGAATATGTTTGGTACAAATTGCATGAATTGAACAATAAAGAAGATTTCCCCCCCGCCCTTTAGTCTCTAATTTTGATTTAAGTCAAAATCAACAATTAATTTTAATAACATATTTCATGGAATCCACTACTTTACAACCATGCAGTTCATCAACTTTTATCAAAATTTACTACATGTCTATCTTTAAGCTCCAAACATCATTAACAATCAGGGGAGCAAATCCTGGAACATCTTCCCTACCTCATCGACAAAGTGTGAATTTCAAGAGGTAAATACGAGTAACATAAGAGTTTTTTAAAGACATTTTTTAAAACTTAAAAGTAAAAAAACTAAAGTTATCTATACACGTTGTAGATAAAATGTAAATCTACTCATGAGTAAGATTGAAAATAAATATTTTATTATTGTCGATGATAATTAACAAATAGGTAAGCTATTTATTTTGATACAAGCGTATTAATTACTTTTTAAAATAAATATATGAATTTCTTACCCTAAGAGAAAAGAAGCCATCACGAACATATTTGTAGAAAAGGGTAAATTTACTTTCTTTTAAATTTAGACAAAAAAATATCTTCCATTAAGTACAAGCAATAAAACACACAACACACACACACACACACACTCTCTCTCTCTCTCTCTCTCTCTCAACAACACTCTTTCAATATATTTCTTAAGTTTTTGGTTAAAATCGTCGGAAGATTTAGGTTGGTATCGTCGGACTAGAAGGTAATTTTCGATGTGACTATTTATTTTTAACATTTCCATCTTTCTCTACTAAGTATTTATTACTGCTAATAATATTACTTTTTAGTTCTTCGATTATTTCTCTACAAGAACATGCCATCTGGAGATTTTTACTAGATTTGTAGCATAATCGCCTAATCTCTAGTAAAATAGATAAATAGTCAAGAAAAATGGTATGATGTTCTTAAATATTTAGCCTCCGTTCGAAAGAATTTATAAATATATAGAAATGCGTACTTGTGAATTTATTGCTCAGTGTGCGGTTAAAAATAAGTTTAATTAGTTTTATAATTATTTTATAAAATTTCCAAACGGAGGCTTATTTATTCACGTTAGATTATTCAGTTGGTAGTTGATACATTTTATGTGCAATTTATTAACTGGGAAAATTGCACGATTGGTCACAACCTATGTTCTATACATATTTTCAAATATGGATGGATATTTTGATCATCAACCTTTGACTTTGTAGTTTAGGAGCATTTTCTGCTTATAAAGAGTATCTTATATCTAAATTTAGAGTTTAAATTATTTTTAAACATTCCAATATAAATAATTGAAACTCATGAAATATGAATTTTTTTTAATCTTATGTTTAGTATAAAAGGAAACTTTGAACTTTATATTTGTTATGAAACTATGAATTCTAGTCCTGTCTGTCCTGATATATATCTTTATGATTTAATTACATGCCAAAATGATACACTAAACACCCAACCAGTTAAAATCACTGCATCTTTCAGAGATGAATTCATATAATTTTGCACGTAAATTGTTCATTTACTGGGGAATAATTCTTTTCCTTTTGCTATTTATTTGATAATATTTTATTAAAAATTGTCGGAGGAATGTAGTTCAAAGACTCTAATGTGTTGGGGTTGTTCTTTTTATTTTATTTTATGACGGGCTTCTTTAATACTGCAGGAATATCTTCTGTTTGAGCTAGAAAATTGATAATGGCGGAAAACATCATCTCTTCCGTTGTTGGGAAGCTCGCGGAATACGCAATCGGTCCACTTTTGCGCCAATTCAAGCATATGATCTACTACAACAGCAAAATTCAATCTTTGAGGGATGAGAAGAGAGCTCTTGAAACTGAGGAATCGAAGGTGGGAGAATCGGTTCATCGAGCAAAAAATAATATGCAACATATTATACCTGATGTTGAAAATTGGCTGCAAAATGTTGATAAAATAAAGAAAGAGGCAGATGAAATTTTTAAAGGTGCAACAAATTCTGAAATGCAGTGTCTATTCCTTCGATGTCCAAATTTGATGACCCGTCACTCGCTTGGCAGGAAAGCCACAGAGAAGACTAAGAAGGTTGCCAAACTCCTAGAGAAAGGTAAATCATTCCAAAATGTGGCCGAACCTAGACAACCGGTGCAAATACCTTCTCAAAACCCCCCCGGTGACTTTGGAGATTTCAAAACAAGGATATCACGTAAAAACGAAATCATGGATGCTCTAAAGGATAAAGATGTCAGCATAATTGGGATATGCGGCATGGGTGGAGTAGGTAAGACGACAATGGCAAGAGAAATAGCTAACGAAGCCAAAATTGACAAATTATTTGATGAGTTTACAGGGGCAGATATATCTGGAGATCCAAATGTAACTAAAATTCAGGATGAACTTGCTGAACGTCTCGATTGGAACATTAAACATACTACTACTGAAAGTGTGAGAGCTGAACTACTTCGTGAAAGACTTAAAGGTGGTGAAAGTAAGAGCATTCTCCTAATATTGGATGATGTTTGGGACGATACTGTGCTGGAAACTGTAGGAGTTCCTGTTCCTTCAGCAGGGGATGATAAAGAGTTGAAAATTCTATTGACATCACGCGATAAAGATGTGTGCAAAAGAATGAAAGCTCAAAGGATATTCGAAGTCGATACTTTAAATGAAAAAGAATCGTGGGAACTTTTCAAGGAGAAGGCAGAAATTTCTGATGATGCAATAGGTGTTTATTTCCTATGTCGTCTTTTGTAACAGAAGGGATGTGATGGCTTACCTCTCGCTCTTGTGGTAGTCGGTAGAGCCCTCTGCGGAAAAGAAGAACATGTGTGGAAGAATGCGCTGGTAGAACTACGGAGTTCTACAGTGACCAATATCGAAGGAGTGCACAAGAAGGTGTACTCAAGGATAGAGTTAAGCTACAACTATCTAGAGAGTGATGAAGCCAAGTCCTTGTTTCGTCTATGCTCTCTGCAACCAGAAGTTTATGGTATTCCAATTGATGATTTGGTTAGATATGCCTGGGGGCTAGAGTTGTTTAGAGGTACGACGACATTGATTGCAACCAGAGATAAGGTAAAAGCGATTGTTGATCATTTGAAAAGTCGCTACTTACTGCTCTCAAGTGAGTATAAGGACCATGTAAGAATGCATGATGTTGTAAGAGATGTTTACTTGCAAATTGCATCTAAATACGATATGTTATACACTGGTTTGAAGGAGTGGCCAAAACATGATAAAAATAAATTTTACAGTGGAATTAGTCTGAAATCGGGTGAGCTGAATCAGCTTCCCAGTGGATTAGAATATCCAACCCTAAAGTTTCTATATGTGACTTGCCATAAGCAGTCGCTGAACATATCCAAAGAGTTTTTTGCCGATATGAAGGAACTCAGAGTTCTTGATTTCACTGCTATGAGGATTCAAATTCCATCATCAATCCAACTATTGACCAATCTTCGAACTTTGTGCTTGGACCATTGTACATTAAGCACTGAAAATTCTACCATTGGGAATTTAAAAATGTTAGAAGTTCTCAGTTTTTATGGCTCTACTCTCGATCACTTCCCTGAAGATATAGCAGGACTTAGCAACCTAAGGTTATTGGATTTGAGGCTGAAGCACAGATCTAGCCACCGTCCACTTCCATCTGGTATCTTATTGCAATTGAAGAATCTGGAAGAATTGTACATGGGCGTGGTTGAAATAAAAGATGATAAACTGGAACAACAAGGGTACATTATTAAGGAGATAAGTTCATTGATTCATCTTAATACTTTCCAAATTTCCACAAATGATCTTCCGTTTCTGCTGCAAATATTACATGTTTTGTGTATTGAGAAGTTGGAAAGATTTCATATCGAATTAGCTGACTTAGAGTATGCTCATGTGGAAATCTTGAAATATTATTGTTTCAAAAGGAGACTGCATTTACGTGGCATTATTTGCACAAGTATGCTTTCACAACCTGCAATCAACTCATTAATGTTGAGAACCGACCATCTTTCTATAGAAATGGACTTGAATAATCTCGATGATCTTTCTCAACAAGTGACGGAGAGGAAGAGTATGTTAGATGAAGATAGCTTCGAGTATCTGTATGGAAATCATCCCATAGGGGCACTTGATGGATTACAAGAGATAAATCTACGTGGCATACCAAAAATGAAACATTTGTTCAAGGGTGTCATCAAACCTCCATCACTTCGCAATCTTATGTTTCTTACTATTAAAGGATGCCCCTCATTGAAAAGCCTATTTTCCGAGTCAGTTGCATCAGGCATGGTGAATCTCCAAAGTTTAAGGATTTTCAATTGTGAGATGTTAGAGGAAATTGTTTCCGTGGACATGGAACAAAATGAAGTTACCCAAATGCTTGAATTCCCAAAACTACAGAAAATCATCCTTGCGGGTTTAAGAAATTTTAAGAGCTTTAGCTGTGGATCTAACAAGACTGTTGGTGTGCTCAACCCACTGTTCAAACAGGTAAATATTTTTTTCTTTAGTTGGTTTGCATGGGGCTACATTTGTTATAAAAAACATGAATATTTTGAATTCTAACCGACATAAAAATTACAAATAAGAAAATTACAAGTCTCATTTCTCAATTTCTAATTAATTGATACACAATTTTTCTTTTATGAAGCCTGGAGTTCAACCATTTAAAAAAAAAGTTTACAAACAAGTTTTAAATGACACACGAATATTTCCCATATGCTTTCATTAACGTCTTATATTCTGTAATCTTAAGGCACTCTCTTCAAATTAATACTTCTTTAATTCCTAATTGTTTAAGGCATTATATTTGACCAAGAAATGATGAATTATAGAACCTAATTGTTTACGTAATTAAAGCCTTTCAGTAGGGGCTTCAGTGCGTTTTTTTTAATCCCAAACCGTCCACCTTTATTTGTCCTAATGGCATAGATTTGGAACCTTTATGCCAAAAATAAAACTATAAACGCTTGAAGAGCAAAGGTTTGGATCCGTTCCAACCAATTTTGAGGAATATTTATTTTTACTAGTCAGAGTTATTTGACTCCCCACTTATCCTTTTGATTTAAATACGAGAGATAGTCAAGCACTTGGAAAATAAATTTTAATTACTATACATGTGTTTTTGGTCTCAAACCTTCACTTTTTGGTCCTAATGGCATGGATTTGGGACCTTAGTGCCAAAAATAAAAGTTTTAGAACCAAAAATGCTTGGATCCGTTTCTGCATTTTGAGGAATATTTAATACATGTGATAATCACCAGTGGGCTTGATCTATAGCATGTAATATAAAATCTCTTATGGGCAAGGCTGGTGATCAAGCCCCACAATCTTCTTCTTCTCTCTCTCTTTTTTTTTTAAATGAATATTTCAGAAAATAAAGATGGGTTTTTAGCACCCGCAGTTGGAACACATGTTCAGACTTGGGCCGATCTTTACATTCTCTAATGGGATCTATATTTCACATTTCCATAATTTTTCTTTTTATTAATATACAGTTATTTTCACTGTTATTTACATATGCTAATTCACGTCAAATTCTTAATTAATTCTACGAAGTTAAAGGTTGATATTCAAACTTACGATGTTTTATGATTACATAATTTTAGCTGACACCATTAAGTAAATTTCTTTTAGGTTACATTGCCTAACTTGGAGATGTTGAGCATTGATGGACTGCACATTACAAGGATGTTTCCTAAAGGAATTTGCATCTTTAAGAATTTGACAAATCTTAGAGTTGAAAGATGTGACAACATAAGGTACTTATTCTCACCTTCAATGGCCAATTCACTGGTGGTTCTGGAACAAGTGTCGGTTAAAAAATGTAAAGCAATTGAAGAAATTATTGGAAGACAAGAAGAAGACAACACTTCAAACATCGAAATCGTGGAAGAAGGAACGACAAGCGGAATTGTGTTTCCTAAACTGAGAAATCTAAAACTTTTTGATCTTGATAGATTCAGATTGCTTTCCTCTCAGAACTATGAACTCGTATTCCCTTCACTAGAGTATTTGCGCATTGAAAATTGCCCTATGGCGACAAAATTGTGTTCAAGACAACTATTGAGTGCACCAAAGCTTGATAAAGTATGGATAAACGATGAAAAATCCACTGATATTTCAAAATTCTTGGATTTTGAAGGTATACATGTGTCTTCTTGATTCCCAATTTACAATATCTAGCCTTTTATATACACTATAATACACAACATTAATTAATGTGTGAATAATTGATAAATTAATGTACTCTGTTTCTCAGGCTCAATACAGATGTGAGAGGACCACAAATTTGTTGATACTTCCAGTGTTGTTGAGGATGCAGGTACACACTTCCAACATATAGTTGAATTTGTACATTTTTAATTATTGTATAAATAATTGGAAAATTAATATGCTGTGTTCCTTAGGCTTTCTGCCATGAGCAGTTGAAGCATAATTTTTTTTACAGAACAAATGAAAATTTATTCACTACTGTATGAATAGCTGCCAAATATATAATGACCTCTTTCTTTATCTCCTGAGGAGCTTCAAGAAAATTTCTTATTTACTCATTTAGCAAGTAATAAGCATTCTTTCTATTATTTGAAGTAAAAAGCATAAATGGTTGATATCATTATGTTTGTAGGATTAATTCATCACTGTTTTGTTAGGATTTATGTATAATTTATTAGCAGCCTTATATTATTAGTGTTATGAGAAACGACTAAGTTCAATGTTAGTAGGAGGAGGTGCAGCTAGAAAACTGGTTATTGGTGTCTGGATGACAGCTCGAGGCAACTTCCGAATTCCGATAATTGCTTTCTAGGCTTGTAATTCTGAGGGGGAGATGTCACCCTGCCTTCTGGTGGATTCCGGTTTCAACTGAAGGTACAAACCCAAGCCAAAGGTTGGTGAAACTGTTGCTGTTGAAGCAATTTGTTGGCTTTTTAATCCGGAATTTAGTATCATTATGTTTGTTCTGTTAGTTGTCTGCAGTCATTTGTATCCTAAAGCTTTTATTTGTTTTGCACCTCCCAAAACTTCGTTTACGAAGCTTGTTCTCAAGATGAAACCTGTCATTTCCCTTTCTAAAGGTGTTAAGAATGCGTTTCCTGTCTAATTCTTTGCTACTCAAAATAGAATAATAAATCGTTGAATCTTTATCAAATAATAATCTATTTCGTCGTATAGTATCCACTAGGCATAAAACATTAGTGGTACGTTTAGAAGAAAAAACTTGTGAAGTTGTTTTATGCAGATGACAGATTGAAGAATTAGTACAAGAAGGAAGAATGCCAAGATTACAAAAATTCAAATCCGTTAATAAAAATGGTGGCTGGGAGATCAATTTCACTAATATAGAGAAGTTCTTTTACAATAAGGCGTATAAGTATAAAAGAGTCATTTAAACAAAACAAAAAAAATGAAAAGTACTTTTTATTCTCTGGCAAATTGTGTTTATTATTTTATCATTTCTCTTTGTTGTTTTGAGAGAGAGAGAGTAAGATGGGTAAATTTCTTGAAAACTGACTTCTTTCCTTCTTTCTTTCTTCGAAATTGCGAGAATTTTACTTGTTTGCATACTGTCAAGGGAAACTATTCTTTTAATAAAAATGAAAATGGATCACTAGACACAAGCAGTGGATTTGATACAGCAAAATTTGTCAACGAAACAAATATCTCAAACCGTGGCAACATCAAAGCAAACAGATTGGGGTGGGTCAATGACAGTATTTATATGAAAATCTTAGACGAAAATAATAAAAAATAATAACAAGAATACACAGATTTACATGAAAATCTTAGACGAAAAAACACAGACAGAGACGAAAAAAATCATTATATAAAAAATGAGTACAGGGGATGAACGTTTTTCGAACTTTATTTTTCCTACAACGTTTGATTCAATATTTCATGATATGAATATCTATTTGGATCGATTTAATTTTTTTTAAAAAAAAAAAAAACTTACAATGTGATAATAATAAATATATTGTCGATTAAGTTTAAATATAAAAATTATCTTAAATTATTAAATGTAAAATCATAATCGTTAATTTTTCTTTTCTACCAACCATCAACCTCCATACTCTTACCAATTTCTCTCAATTTCATTTTTCTTCAATTTTTACAGTTAAAAAAGATAAATTTATGGCGTCAAAATAGATATTGAAGAAACTCAATGATTTTTAGAAGAATCCTCATACATCATACAGTACTGGTGGACAAACATCTTCATGAAATGGATTATTTTGATTTTTTTAAAATTGATTTAATGTGCGGTATCATTAGAACATACTGAAAAGATATTCGACGGAATTTATGAAGTTAGGTGATCGTTTGTCATTCTTTTTGTCTTTATGATGGAAATTTTCATTGTGTCGTGGTTTGAATACTGATAGAGACCATTTTCATGTAAAATAAAGCTAAACAATTGGTATTGTGTATGATAATTTTTTATTTTTTTTTTTACAATTGGAACAAATTTTAAACCCAATGGTAAAAAAAATTATTACGACAATTTTCATGCAAAACGAAGTCAAACGGATACAAAACTTTCAATATTTTCTAAGTGAAAAATTATATCAAATTAACACAATTAATTACAATTCCCAATAAAATAAATTCTAGACAATTAAATTTCATGTAATTCATTTTCTTTTCACTCAAATTCTACATTTGCAATTAAACGGACCCTAATAGTTAATATAGCCCATTTGTGCTTGTTAATGAAAAGTTTAGGAGCTTAACGCCAAAACTAATCATTGAAGATAAAAGTATATATAGGAGCATAAATAAAGATGATTTTTGCAATTCGTCTCTGGCAAACCCAAACACGATAATAAGAAAGGAAAGGTCAAAGATGTCCATCCAATAACCACATAACAGCTTAACAAAAGTAAGGAATATAATATTTTTTGAAGATCTTAAACTGCAAGTCGATGGTATCATGTGAAAGATCAAACCACCCGTAGTTCATTTTTTTTTTTTTTTTGTTTATCCGAATATTTTGATTCATTAGCATTTGTCTCTAAATTGTATCGTTTGTAAATCTTTTTTATCTTTGTTTGCACATGTATGCTCGGTGTATTTGTATACGCACATGATTTTTGTTCATCTGGATATGTCCAGTGTACTTGTATATAAGTTTTGATCAATATAATTTTACATTTACAGATAAAAAAAAAAAAAAGTAAAATGGGCATTAATTTATGCCTTTTAAGCATGAACATAGGTTTCTGGCCTCTCTCTATCTATGTATCTTCAGGATATTATATGTCACTGTTACTTTTACTTATTTTAAACACTTTCAAATATTTTTAGTGTGACTTTTGATGAAGTCCATGTTTGAGCCTCATTTTTTAGAATAGGTTTTGTGGGGGGGGAAAAAGTAATTTTTTGAAGATCGTGCGGTTAAAAAATAAGATTTTTTTTTTTTTTGAATTTATGTATAAAAACATTTTATTGAAAGAATATGGGGTCGAGAATGAGTTTGGAGAAGAATGGGGCCAAACATGAGCTAATTAATTTAGCATCCTAGAATCACAAGGTATTCTAAGTTGTTTTCCCTACTTTTGTTATTGTCTGTTTCATCATTCTCTACCTCCATCGATGATAAACTAATGAAAATTCTGACGCAGTTAATGATAAATATATTGTAACAAGAAAAATCAGTTAGCGCGTAGTTTTTATTCGTCCAGTTATTGTTAGATATGGGTGTTTCCTTCTTTCCTTTTAGTTAATGGGTGTATCTCAACAATAATTTGAAAGCAACTTACATCAAAAAGAAATTACTGCATGGTTCGTCTACATGCTCGGGAGTTTTTATAATCAGTTTAATTTATTTTTAAAAAAAATGAGTAGTAAATAAGTGAGTATTACTTGAAGACCCATGAAATTTGTGGATACAAAGTGGTTTAACTTTTTATAAAGAAATTATAAGCATTAGCAAAACATGGGCGTATGCCGCTTATCAAAAAACTTCCATATTTGCTTGATAATATGTGCACACAATCTATGAGCTTTTGGGTGAAATCCCGGTTATTAGGATCGACAAGATTTGTACATTTATCATCAATTTATGTTGTAAATTATGCGTTGCTATGTTAGTTTGGATACACGTAAGAAAACATATGTTGGGATTCTTTTTCTAACAAGTGTTGATGACGGAAAAAATCGAGTAACGATATTCATTGCTGGAATTTTACTAAAGCAAAGCTTGTGTCTTTGCTGAGAATATGTTTAGTAGCATATTAGAGAGAATCTTTTCAGTTCAATCGTCCTATTTCATTGGGCCTTTCACTCTTTATACAAAAGTCACAAAATGATTCTTCTTAGCCAAACATACTTACTTTATTTAAAGTCGAAGGATATTTTATTTTTATACCTTTTTCATGCCAATTTGTGAACTCTAATAATTGACAGGGACCATTTGCGCTTGTTAATAAAATCTCAGGAGCTTAATGCTAAAACTAATTTTTGAAGATAAAAGTATACTTAGGAGCATAAATCCGATGCATCAAATTCGTCCCTTCTTCGAATTATTAAACCCAAACACGATATTTTTATTGCAACTTTTGTGACAACTAGAATCGCTTGAAGAATACTATTGTGAAAATAAGTCACTTGAAGAATACATTAAGAAAAGAAAGGCTAAAGATGTACATTTAATTACCACATAACAGCTTTACAAAAGCAAATGCTGGACTTTCTTTAATTTTTGCCTTTCACATCAAAAGCCGAAACTGGTTAAGTCGCGGTGTGTTATGGTTGTGCTATTTATTTTTCTTAGGGATGATTACAGCAAAAGTTTCAAACCTTTGAAATATTAGTAGATTTTCTCCAAATCTTTGATTTGTTGCAGTCGTCGCCCCTAACATTTCCAAATATTGCATGTGAAGCCCTTTTGAACAGTTTCCATCCATAATTCTGTCGGTTGACCAAAAATATAATTTTGCACACATTTTTAATATTTTAAGAAGGGGCAAAAGAATAACTTTTCATTTATTACATTAAATATTTAAATAAGAAAAAAACACAAATACACACACACCGATGGATACTTAATATTGAATTTAGACTTCTAATCCGGGCCATTATTTTAGTTGAAGTTTGGAAGTTTAGACATTCAAATCTATGGAGAATCATCACATATTGAGATAGTGACTTTCATTGGTGTAATCCAACCAAACTTAAGTGAAAAAAAAAATGGTGTTGTATAATCAACGTTAGAATATACATCTCGAGTAAGTGATTGAAAAATAAGCTTGAGGATGTGCATCCCACAAGGGAGAAATGAAATTTGTTTGACTGTTAGATTGACTATGCACACACATACATAGATTGAGCATTAAATAAGTGAGAATTAGTTTTGGTTGGTTTACGTATGATTTTTTATGAAGTGTCAAAAGATTTCAAATACGTAATTTGAGCTTGCCAAATTTATCTAATCCTCTCGTATTTTTATATGTCTGCGTACTTAGTAGATATTCTTACTCAAGATGAACAAGAGTTTAAATTTGGAGGTACCTGATAAGTATATTTTATGTGCTTATCAGGGTTTCGATTCTTATATGTTTATTACTAAATTGAACAAATATATTTAATTTAGGTTAAGTTATGTTAATCGTAAGTAAAATCTAGATTGGACAATTTTTCATGAAAGTGTCAAAAGATTTCAAATACGTAATTTGAGTTTGCCAAATTTATCTAATCCTTTTGTATTTTTATATGTCTGCGTACTTAGTAGATATTTTTACTCAAGACGAACAAGGGTTTAAATTTGGAGGTACCTAATAAGTATATTTTATGTGCTTATTCGGGTTTCGATTCTTATATATTTATTACTAAATTGAACAAATATACTTAATTTAGGTTAAGTTATGTTAATCGTAGGTAAAATCTAGATTGGACAATTTTTTATGAAATTGGATTGAATTTGTACGAAGCTAAGGAATTGGAGACCAAAATAATCAAGTAAATTTTAATAAATAGATTTTTTCAATGGCTCTTGGCCAACTTAACAATCTCTGAAAAAGGAGTCACGAAATTTTTTATCAACTTAAAGACACATTGCTGAAGTGTAAGCTGCGCTCATTGAAACCTTTTTTCTATTATTAC